TATTATAAGGACAAAAGATTGTAATTTGCCTCACAGCTTCAATCATACTGAGTCCTAGGCTACAGCGAGTAGGAGGATTGCTGGGTTACCTAACCCTGAGCACAGTCAGGATATATTGCTGTGCAGGTGGGATTCACCCCTTTCTCCAAAATGAAATTAAAATCTCAGTAACTGACACCCTGTTAGAAGTCAGTATTTTCAAAATAAAGAGTTGATGAAAACTTGCAAGATCTTTTCAGTATCATCTTACAGTTCTAAACTAAAAGGAATCTGGCACCGTGTGTAACTGAGTGAAAATAAGTTTGATTTATTGTAAAGCATATTTGTATGTGCCTGAGAGAGTATGAATCTTTTAAACAAGCCTGTTGGCCACTGCAGGGGGTTTCAGAGAGGTGACCACGGCTTGGTGAGGACCAAGCCTGGCTCTCGGGGCAGAGTGAGCATGGCTTGCAGGGAGGGTCATTCATAGCAGCCAGTACTCAGCTCCTGCTCTGAGTCGCCCACTGCGTAAGTGTAGTTATGAGAGCCAGTTCTTAATGAAGACATGTCACTGAATTTAGCCTCAAATCGAGTTTCTAACTGTTCTCCATTTAACTTACAGAATAACACTGGCCCACATTTGGTAGTGATTCCTGAAAATGCTTTGTCGTCTTTGTTTTGCCCATCTTAAGGAAAAAGAATGGCAAAATGTAAACTGCCTTGTAATTCTGACAGGGATCTCTATTCACAACTCATTTGGCTTAGAGATTGGTGTTCTGCAGTTTGTCTCTGCTTGTGTTGTTTTATGTTTGTTTTTTTAATTTTCTCTGGGTGTTTTTATGTGATCAGTGTGTAGCTGTTTGCCTGTTTTTGGTTCAAAAGATTTTTGTATGAGATAGGTGGGTTTCGTGGTAGCAGTTGTGTTCAGACTTTAGAGTGACACATTTCAGAAAAGGTTGAGGCTTATTTTTTTTTAAAGGATATTATTGTTTTTTGACCAGCCACCAAGACCTTTAAAAGCAGAGCAGCTCTGTGTGTATGACAGTACGCTGTCCATTATCAAGACAATATTTTGTCTTATTATTAGTGCAGAAATAAGTGCCACCTTTATAAGGTCAAAACTAGTTTCTGCTGTTGAAGAGACTAGGGTCATGGCATAGTTAGGGTGATGCTCATGTACAGTTTTGCTGCATGGATCAGTCTGCATGCAGCACTATGCAACATATAGGAAATAATTTTTTCAGATTTAGGCTTTAATTTGCATTTTCAAATTTTGCACGCACTACGATGTGCAGTAGGTGGAAGTTGGGAGTTCCTGTGATTAGCCAAATGTGCACTGCTGCCAGTTGTTTCTCACTGTTTTACTTTCTGAACTTGGGTTGTGATGGCTGAGTTACTGGTTGTGAAAGTTCTTGAAGAGAATTTTGTGCCTATTGTTATCGAAACTTAGGTCTGAGAAAGGAGGCAAAAGAATGCCACTCTGTACTTCTCAGTATTCTTTAAATTTGAAGATACATGGTGTATTTACTGATGGGGAATCCTCTCAGATGGAGGTAACGATGTTGTCTCAGGCTTGCTGAAATGGTGAGTTTCTTTATTGCTGAGTGGATCCTACAGTAACTAATTCAGTTTGACATTCACTTGTCCAATCTTCAGTGCTATTGAGAGCATGAAATGCACGAGACAGCTTTGGGTAGCTGAGGATGTGAACCAAGAGCTATAAGATACCCCAGCTGTATGTTTCTGTATGTGTCACTGTCCGAAACATCTGCTGGTGCTCCCAGTGCTGGTCCTGATGCCATTGTCAGTGTATTCTTCCAGAGCAGGAGATTTATCTGCAGAAAGGAGGGTACTGGAGAAACTGCTGCATCATGTCATTCAACACACTCAGAGTTCCTCATCCTAAAGCAAACCAAGTATCCTCTCTAACAAACCATTTCTGTGTGTGCTCTGGTGGGATTCATGGAGGATCCTGTCTGGTGGGTCTAAAAGTTGTTGCCAGGTAGAAGATGACAGGGCTACAATTAGCCCAGTAATTTCTGTGTGACATTTTATATTGCTTATGAATGAGATTTTCTTTTTTTTTTAAATCTCTTTGCAAGTGGCCTACTTCCCTGGCTTATAATGGTTTCTGTTTTACATTAGGTGCCACACAGGAGTTTTAAGGAAAAATTTCTTGTCTGTTTTCCCCCCTTTCTTCCCTTACGGTACAGGTTTTTTTGCCATGCATTCATGTTTCTGTGGACCTAAGGAAGTACAGAGGGTAGCCATAGAACACTAGAAACTTTTACCATCTTGTTAAAAGCATTTTGATTGCCTCACCCAATTTTGTGATTCCTGAATTCTCTAATAACTTTGTTAATGTTTTTTTTCCTAAAATGGTTATGATTTGTATAAAACCAGTGGCTATGTAATAAAGGTCCAACGGAAGGACTATTTTGCAAAATACATCTTCTCATGCAGAAGTTGCAAGCTGAAATGGAACAGGAGTTCTGTTAGGTCCCTGGTGGCACTTTCTATACAAGTGTTGGGGACGTGGACCCAAGGACAAGTGTCCAGGGTGGTTTTGTATTGTGTTCTTGGCTGAGCTCACAGTCAACAGACGCCCATGAACAAGGCCCTGCTGGTAACCTGCAGGTGACAGTCTGTTTTCTCATGTTCCCAAGAGAGATGCAGTGGGGGAAAGGTGCATGCTCATCAGAGTCCAGTCTCTGTTCACTGCTTGAGGCAGCTGCTTCAGCTCTTTCTGATCTTTACACTGTTCCCAGAGGTCATGCCTGCATGTTTTTTAGGTGGTGGGAGTTCTCTCTAGCTGTTTGTGGTAGTGAAAAGGCCATCAGAGCTTGTACCTTGCTCTGTTAGGTAATAGATTCACCAGCCTTTGAAAAATGTTCCACTCTTACTTTGAGGGTAGAACGTGTACTGGCATATGAAGGGTTGGCCATGATGCAGTGTGCAGATATGCTGATAACCATGGCCTGTAACCTCTGGTCTGATGAGAAAGGAGTGTCACAGTGTCATCTAGAAAAATAGAGCTGCACTCTGTCATCCTGTAAGAAGGATTTGTTTGAACACAGCAGTGGGCAGCTTGTCTGCATTCAACAGAAATGCTTTAAGGTCTGGAGAGCTTGCCATCCCCTTAGCTGTCCTCTGTGTTTTAGAGGACCAGCAGGAAGCCTGTTGTCAATGTCACCCCTGAATTGCAGTGGAGATGCAAACTAGTGTGAGAGGAGAGCTGGGAAAGAGGACAGAGCTGTAGGGAAGCGAGCAACAACTTAGCAAGCAAGACACTGTGAAGAACACAGGGACAGAGAAACTGTGACAGGAGCTGTTCACACTGTACTGGCTTGTAAAATGTGTACATTTTATGGACCCCTAGATATTTTCTGGGCTTCATGCAGGTGCCTGACCCTCAGATCAGATGCCAATGGATTGCCTGCTGTACTAATACACATGGCTTTCATTTCCCACCAAATTCTGAGCAAGGCATGAGGAACATTAGCTCTCCTTGCCTCACCAGTGTCTTGGGAATTAATTAAAAATTCATTTTTCATGATCTTAGAGGTCATGATTTTAGAGATGATGAAAAACTGCTTCCTCGGGTGGCAGTTCTGGAAGTAATGACTATTTATTGGTATCTATAGTATTATGTATTTCACACTCTCTTCCAAGCTTCTGCCTTCTGGCCACTAGCTTTTGACTCTGATTTTTCTGCCTATAAATACAAATATTGATGTGAGTCTAAGGCCTTAGCACTAGACTGGTGCTTTAGTGTTGGTTGTAAGAGATTCATGCTGTTCCTCTGTCCTTGTGATTGCTAAATCATGTAAGGCTGCCTTTACTTTTTGGCTTTCCTTTTGGCTGTTGCTTGCTGTAGACTCTGAGGTGTTAACCATGAGAAGTTTCTGGACTAGCTCATACCTTTGTGCACCACCAGGTTGTTTTCAAAAGGTTGTGCTTGGAGCAGTAACTTTTTCAGGCTCGGGCAGACGGGGCAACAACTATTTTTCCTTCAAATCCACTGGAGAAATGTAAGCTGGTTCACAGTGCTCGACCTGCTGATTCCTAGAGGGGTTCTGCTCTGCATGGGGCAGGGGACGACAGCCCTCATCCCTGTGCTGCACTGATTTCCTACAAGTGCAGTGGGGGCTACTTAGTGTGGTTTGGAAAAACAATTTTTTAAGGGAGTAGGGATGTTGTAACAGGCCTTGTGTTTTGTGGCTTGGCCTACAAACCTGTAGATAGTATCAGTGCAAACTGATAGCGTTGCGTGTTCTAAGGGGGCGTTTAAATACCTTTTTTTTTTAACATGTCACTTTGCTGAGGGCCTGGTTGTCAAGGTAGAGCTAAGTGGAGATGATGTCTTGGCTCTGTGGTGATACTTTGTCCTCAACATCTGCAGGATGTTGGTAAGAGGAGACCTACTGAACCTTTCCCCTGTTGTTTCTCAAGCTGAACTATGAATAGGAAGATGTGATAATTTGTGTCATCAACTTAAATTCTCCGCAGTAGAAGTATGGATGACATTACACTCTTAAAAAAAACCAAACCAAACCCCAAAAAACCCAAACCCAAGCAAACAAAACCAGCTTATAGCCAAGTGTAGAAGAGAAGATGTGGTTAGGAGAGTGAAGGCAACTATTTCACTCTCTCTTGTCTTTAATTGCAACAACATCTATTGATCTGATCCAAATGGAGTGTAAGAAAATTTAAAAATATTTGTAGAAGCTAAAAAATGTTTTGACTCTGTAATTAATGATTATGCTACCTGTATTGATAGAATAAATGGCATCTTCTACATATTTTTCCTTTTTTCTTTCTGGTAAACAAGTACTTGAGGATTTGACATTAATTTAATTGTTAGTTTGTGTAATGTGGATATAGTACCATAGTACTCAAAGAGAATGAAAATGTATGGTTAATTAGATATGTCTGCACAAAAACTTTATGGAGCTATTAAACCCACTATAAATTGCTGATTTTCTCATTTGGTTAATTACATTATGTTGTTTTGCTTTTTTCAGGTCACATTTAGGTCATCTTGTGGAACCTTCCCAGAAAACCAGGGTAATAGTAAGAAAATGATGTTTAATAGAAGTATCTTCACTACACAGTCAATTTGAAACAGGAACAGGTTCTCTGGAGTAAGTATTATGGGTGGTTGTTTTTTGGGTTTTGTTGGGTTTTTTTCCCCCCTCCTTGTATAGTCAGTAGCATGGTTATTGGGCTGTTATTGTATTTAACTTCGTTATAGTTGCATTTAAAAAAAATAAAAATCAGTGACTGCATGCTCATTTCAGTTAATCAGCTGGTAATGGGCACTCTTTTGGACTCTCAATGAAGCATCTCTCGTCTTGGAAGCAATTGTATTTTATGCAATTTAGATGGGCTTCAGATTTTTCTCTTGGCTCCTGTATATTCTGGGTATGGTTTTGAGCAGGAAGTGGCCTAGCAGGGATGTAATTACATATAACCTCCCATTTGCTGGCAAAAGTTATAACTCTGCCTGTATTTTCCAGGGAATTGGAAATTATAATTGATTTTTTGGCTGTAACTTTCCACTCCTGACACTTTCTGCATGGCTTTGGTATTTTTATTGTCAGTGTTTCAATATTTATCTTGTATTGCAGTTCCACCATCCATCAAACTAGCATAAGCCTTCAATTTATGGATCTCGGATGTCTTTTAGTTACTGTTTCTAGTTAAACTTTATATATTGATACAATAAAATTCTTAATTTGTGTGCTTCACTTGCTTGAGATGGGAAACAACCATATTTCTGTCACTTTGTGTCAGACTGTAAGACGTTTAAACACTCTTGTAGAGTTTAGAAACTAGTAACAATCTGCACGATTTTCTGACTGAAGCAGATTTTACTCAAGAGGAAATGACTCTGCTTAGCTTCTTCTTTAAAAAGGGATGTGTACATGGTGTCATAATTTGGGTAGAAATATCTCTGTGAAAAGTAGTCAGACAAGATAAACTTTTCCTACGTGGTAGTTTTTTCAAGGTGTTTTTAACTGACAGAATAACACATTTGGATTGATAACTCTCTCTTTTTTTTAAAGGCAGGGAATTATTTATTATGAAATTTCAGTTAAACATAGATTTAAAGAGGCTGATGTGTATGTTAGTTCCCTTACTGTGAGTACTTGAAACAAATGCTGCGATTTTAAGTCAGCACATGTAAATTTATATCTGTTCCTGATTTAGGTCATATGTCAAGTAGCCAGTAAACAGACTTGCCAAAGGTTTTTGTAGCCTTGGCACTTGAATTCAAACCTCTGAAGTTTTCATGAACTGTGTTGTATGAAGTTATTTGTCTTCTATTGACTTCTTAGACAACACAGTAGAAATATAGGCACCTGTCACAATGTCCAAATAAAATAATATGTATCTGCTGCTTACACACTTACTATTGGAGTCAAGAATTAACTTGTCAAAATCAAGTTGCTGAAACAGATGGGCAATAAAGTTGTAACTGAGCCCTCCCAACAAATGTAATGAAAAATGTCCACTGGAGACAGCTTTAGTTGTTCCAAATCATGGCATAGAGGCTTATGGCAGAGACAGAACTCGCTCGTGTTTAGGACTCAGTAAACTCATGTTTCCTGCCCTCTCTCCCCCATTCTCCCCCCCTTTTTTTTTTTTAGGGGGCTTAAGAGAATTCAGGTGTTAAAACCTAAAATTGATTCTCATTTGACCCTTCTGGAGAAATATTTTTCAACCCTTTTGGGTTGGTTTGTTTTGATTTGGTCATTTTATTTTGCTACTACAGATTTCAGTCATCACCAGGATGCAATTGAAATTGCTGAAGTACTAAAAACCATGAAAATAGATACGGAATAGTGTTCAGGGTGTGCATGACCAGTGCTTGGAGAAAACAAGGAGAAAAAGATCTTTATACTAGGATTTTCCACTGCCTGAAGGAGGATTATATAGAGAAGATGTGGCCAGATGACCAGGAATTGGAAGGAAAGACAGAACACAAGTGGCAGAATGTACAAGTTGCAACAAAAGAAATTCTGACTGAACATAAGGAAAAAAATTTCCCTGTGAGGATGCTTAAACACTGTAGTGGGTTGCTCAAGGAGACTCCAAAGCCTCCATCCAAGGAGACTTTCAAAATTAACTGTGCAAACTCCTAAGCAACATGCTTTAACTTGAGTGTTGAAACTGATCTTGGGGCCAGATGACTCCCTGAGGCCCCTTTCAATCTTACAATTTCTGAGTGTTCAGCCTAATATTGTCTGTGATTCTTAGATAATTATTTTTGGTCTTCATGATGAATGGCCAGGACTACTTTTGGCTTTCCTGACTAATGTATTGATCACATGTGATTTTTAGGATTATTCTTTTGTTCCAATTCACCTCTGAATCTGTGCAGTGGGTGGTGACAGTGAAGCTGGTGTTGGAAGAAAACTAACTGAAAAAATCCAGACCAGATTATGCTATGCAAGAAATGATCCAGTCAGGGAGAATTAGTCTGGTGAAACATGTAAATTCTTTATTTTTTTTCTTTAAGGAGCATCTTCCTAAGTTTTGGTATCCATAGCATCTCTGTATATGAGACTGAAGCACAGTCTGCTTGTATGATAGCTCTGTGTTTTGGTCCACGTGCCCTCCTTTTAGGAGAAGATTGCACTCCTAATTAATTTTCCACTGCTTTTAATTATTTCATTCTTTTAGCTCTCTTTCTAGATGCGTACAATCTGTCTGCTGGAGAATAACTGTCTTTCCTAGAGGTTTGATTGAAATATCAGAAATAATTGAAAAGTGAATCTCTCAGTCCCAGTGTGAAGAAGTATCTATATATAGGAAAACCTCAATTTTGATCTCAACTTTTTTATAGTAGGAATAATAGTGGCTCATAATTTAGAGATGTAATGTTTTAATAGCTGAAGGGAAACAGTTGGCTGCTGGTGAAATTTGATGATCTAGGTCTATTTGTACAATTCAAAAGGAGAAGAAATATTAACCATTTATGTATTTAAATGTCTTGCAAGTGGAATGGTTGCTTCTCCTTTCCTCTGCGTTTGCACTGGAACAAGCAATTACTCTGAGAGGTAGAACAGGCAAGAAAATACCAGAGAGCAGAACTAATACTGATTTAATATTTCCTAGTGTTCTGTTGAACTGAGAACTCTTGTACATTTTTTGTATCACAACAGGGAGAGGGGGACCCCACAGTTTACTTAGCACAATAAATAGATGGAAGCTCCAGATGGTTAATGCATCTTTTCAGGTTCCTGACAGGCTTGCTATGTAGCCTTTTGAGTTGCAGCTTGGGCTGTTACAAGGCCAGACCTTTAGGCTGTAGTTTTACCTACTTTTTTTTTAAATGCACTTAAGAACTGTAAAGTGGCAAACCAGCCCCGGGGCTGGAAGAAACTCCTTCCTCCTCCACCACTCATCTTCTGTTTACATCTTCACACAGTTAGGCAGCTTTGCAGGAAACTGTCTGACTCACCTGGGTTAAAATGACATCTTTATTCTGTGTTAAGGCTCACCTCCTTCTCCTCCTTTCCCCTTCACTCTGACTGTCCAGTTCTTTCTTCTCTTGTGCCAGCTCCATTCATCATCTTTGTTAAGCTTGATTTTTTTTGTTGTTGTTGCTTAAAATATCCTTGTGAGCATCCCATCCTATAAATGCTTAGTAGAATCTTTTTCTAATACTTGAACTCCACATACCCTGATATTTTGTACTTACCTTCTGATAGTACATAAAATATCTACAGTGATCTGGATGATCAAAAGCAAATGATGTAGATTGTGAAATAACCAGGTCTAATCTCCAAAATCTTTAGTCTCATTTTACTATCCTGGAGCATGCCTTACAGAATGCATTTGCCTTCATGTCAGGTCCCGCTCTGCATGCTGCTATTTAAAACTTACCAAAGTATCTAAGAAGGCTGTTCACAAATTTTCCTAAAGGTGGAGGTACCAGGTATGTTCTGACAGCCCAACTGACAGAGTGCTATAAGATTTGACTGGGCTTTTTGCTGTTTGAGTTTTTCCTCTTGTCTCCCCAGTTCTGTTGGTGAAGATGTCAAATTAACTGTTTGTTACTTCTATGATGGTGCTTTTCTAATCTGCTACTTTCTTGCATTTCTTTATATTCCCTCCTGTGTTGACCATGCAGAACTGGATTACAGTGAGCTGAAAGGGGCTGTTTTCTTACAATGACTGCAGCTTCACTGTGATCCAGTGATCAAATGCTTCTAAAGATATCTGACATTTCAACATGAAAGGAGATTTTCTTCTCCCTGCAACTCTCTTTAACTGTAGAATACAAAAAGATCGCCTTAAACTCCCAATTTTTATATATATGTTTTAATGTATCTATATAGTGATTTCAAGATAGAGCAAAGGAAGGTCATGAATTAGCTGTGAAATGCTGTTTTGTTACTTTTGTGTTTTGTGTTGATTATGAATGATGTTCTGAAGTCCATCAGAAGCCTGGGAGTTAAGTTTTATTCATCTGTTTGGTTCATCATGAAGAGTCTTTGGGGGCAGCAGGAGCCATGTTTAATTGTCTGAGTATAAAGTAACGAGGAGTAAGAATTTCCTTTTACCCTCATTGTTCAAACCAGTTCTGATAAGTATTCCCAGTCTGGAATAACTTTTTAATGGTGTTATTCTGTACCTGTAGACTTGTTTGGCAGCAAAAATTTTATGAAGACAATCTCATTGATAGCATTAAAGTTACATTTTCATTGAATCATAAAGTAATTTCCATAAGAAGGGATGACCAGAAGTAATGTAATCTAGCCATCTGTTCAAATCAAGGTGCTTAAAATGAAATTAATTTTTAATTTGAAACCAGTTAACATTTGCATTTTTTTTCCATGTCTCTAAGTACTGCTGAAGTCAATTGCAAATTCAGATGCTCAGCATTTCTTGAAAACTGGGCCACCTTTAGAGGCATTAATATCACAGAGAAACTTCACTCGTTGTGGTTTTAAAATCCTGGCTTCAGTTTCTGTATCTTAGTATGGAATGGTAGGCATACAGCAGAGGGATAAAGCTACAGGCAAAATAATCAGGGACCATGGAAAAAAGAAACTAATCGAATTATCTTTGTGGAAAATTAACTATCTTTTATGAGGAGAATGAACTTGAATAGCTGAGAGACCACTCTTAG